GGACACAGACCAGGGGGGTGGGGGCATGAGCGGGGGCATAGGGGGTAACGTGGGGATAAGGACACACATGTAATACCTTAAATAAAAAAATATATATTTATTAAAAAAAGAGAGAAAAAGTATTAACATATTTTTGCCATAGAAGTCTATGTAACAGATTCTCAACACCAAATGAAAGTAAGTAGAAATCCACTAAGTACAGGCTTCTGAATACATTGTTCACAGAAAAGTAACTGTCTTACAATACATTTAAGTTGATCTATGATTGTCAAGTCTCATTTGTTTATTGCAATAGTTTTTTTTTAATTAATCTTTGATTTGGGATAACTTTAATATCTTAAAAGGCCTTGGTTTTATCTTGTTTATAAGAACATTTATTTACAGTGCAACAAAGATAAATCTAATCTGCATATATCTATCGTAACAATATATTTTGAAAAATAAGAATGTTATGTTATACTTCGTAGGTATTAAGTTTAAAAACTTTTTGTTTAATCTAGAATGCCATTATTAAAATCAGTCATGTTAATCATAGGCTCCCTAAATCTTAGTAATGAAAAATTATCAGAACTGTATTTTTTATGTTAAGAAAGATACACCTATATAGAAGAACATTCCAAGCACATTCATTTCAACACAGGAGCAGCCCTGTTTTTTCACTGTAAATAGTTTCTAGTGGCACGATCTCTGCTCAGAAAATTAAAAGCCAATGTTAGCATATTATTGCTCCTGCTCAACTGCGTTTTGATAAGCATTTCTGAGTTAAGACAGTTCACTCACTGCAAAACCTCAGTTACTGCCTCAAATAGCAAATGCTTAATTTTCAAATTTGAAAGTAATTTCCAATAGAATCTGTCTTTGTATTTTTGAAAATACGTTTTATTTTTGAAAATCCACTACACAATGTGATTAACTGTTGCCTACCTGAGGGTTTTGCTAGAGTATGCACCTATCCCACCGCATCATGACATGGTCTTTTCATTCAATTTTGAGCTTATTAGTAATGTGATGCATTCAGCATTAAAAATGGCCTGCAAATACCACTAAATATAGGACACTGAAGCAACTTCAAGACAGCTGAGGAAAGTTTATTAAGAATCTTCAGCCAAGGGAGAGAACCAAGATGGCGGCATAGGTTAACACCGGAGATTGCTGCCTCGAACAACCAATTCAAATTACACCTAAAAGACGGAACGGACATCATCCAGAACCACAGGAGGGCTGGCTGAGTGGAAATTCTACAACTAGGAGTAAAGATAATATCATACCCAGACTCAGAGGAGGCACAGTGTGGAAGTGAAATACTCAGGTGCGGAGTGCGCGGAGCGGGCTGGCAGCCGAGGGCGCGGTTGTTGTTTACAATCGGGAGGGAGCTTCAGACTCTGAGCTCCAGAGCCGGGCGAGTCCCTAGGGACCCAGACTCAAAGCCTCCA